CGAATATGGAAAAGGTTAAATGGGGACTGCCACTACAAAAATCTGTTCCAAAGCACGAGCAGGAAAAGTGAGACATCCAGTACAGCGTGTCATTAACTGGCCCAACTGGTTAGCATTGTAACTTTGGTTTTTCCATTCACAAAAATGTGTGTGTGTTTGTGTGTGTTGACTGTTTCCGTGTTTGCCCAGTGTTATTGAAACCCAACTATGCATTTCCAGTTGGTTTGAAAAAGTCACTTTTCCTCTTCACTGAACAGTAACGTGTCACACAGAGTGGCATGAAATCTGAGCTCTCCGCATGTGAAAACATGAACGCATACAGCACTATCAGCAGAGCAGAACATAAGGGTATGATAAAGGTACACTACGGTATCAGTGGTGACGAACACGTCTCATCTTGTCGAAGCGGAAATGCCCTTTCCACACACTGGATAGCTCAGTCAGCCATGGGAACTGAAGTTATTATGGTAAAGCTTTACACCAGTTCCTGTAATCAATAAATCACTATTATCAATCTGTGTTGCAGAGTATTGGTAAAATCATAACAACTGGTTAACTATGTGAAAAATGTCTTCATAAGGAACTTGTGAGGTTGTACTTTTTATATGGGATATCAAGTATGCGATATGCAGGTCGTGATAACACTGTTGCATTGTGGGCTAAATGCCTTACTCATGGGCACATTTACAATAGTGTCCCTAGCTGATGAGCTGCACTATCCAATCATGAGCCTGCTTTGCTAATGTTCAGAGTCTATTTTTTGTGTGATGACAGATGAGGTTAGGTTTGGTTTGGTTGGCTGATAATTCCATCTAACAGGATGTTCATGTAATGGTCAAAATGAAAACAGGACTCACACCCCTGCAGGGCATATCTGGTGGATATGAAAGCTTTTCCCAAAATCACAAAATAATTCAGATAAAACACAAAATAAGTGATTATCAGTTGAGGTGAGACCAGCTGTCCCACCTGTTCAACTCCAAACAAGAATTAGAAGAATTTAACATTTTATTTATATGTTGTTGAAGCGTTTACTGCTTTTCAGAAATTGCCTGAAAACAGTGCGTGGATTCTTGTCATTTTCACATCTATATGGTATTTTTAGATGTATCTGCTTGAATCAGGATATACTACTAAGACTACTACTACTACTACGACTACTATAGCAACTATTGCTGCTACCACGAACAATGGTAATGTATACCGGTTAAAGGCTGCTGTGTTTCAAGGGGAAGGGTGGAGGCCAGCAAACAAGTTTGGTCAATCATGATGAACCATAGAGGTCACATGGGAGGTAATTAATTATTCAAAGCCCCTTTTAAAAGACACATGCATTTGAATTAATCCACAAGGGAAATAAACTGCTATTTAACAGTACTGTTTATGTACGGTCCACGTGGTATGACCTCCATGAGATAACCACATCCATTCATCCATCAGCAGTGTAAAAAAAAAACATACAGACACTCGTCGTCATTATACATACATATTTAGCATTCAGTGTCTTTTGACTTAACCATCAGAGAAAGATACTGCTGTGATATCACAATAAAAAACGTGAACACGTCAGCAAACGAGCATCGTCTCAGCAGCCAGTTTGGTGAGACAGTTATTAGAGCTTGATGAAAAACAGCAACCTTGTCTCAACCTTGACCCATCCTGCCC